CTGAACTAATTAACTAAAATAATGAAAAAATAAATTGACTTAAATGACATTAAGGTTTAAAATTCTAAAATATTTGATTTCACTATAATTAACTAATATAAAATTTCAAATTCATATATATTTAAGGTATTTACTATTTATGTAACATTAGAATTTACTTACTTATTTGATATAATTTCTTAAATTATACTAAATCTATCCTCATTTATTAATCTACTATATTTGCACTTGAATTTAAATAAATAAAGATAGTAAAACATCCTAACTTAAGCAGAAACTTTTGAGTTTTATTTATTACAAATACTACATGAATTAAGTTGGTCCATTTTTACTTTTCATTTAATTCATTGTATATATCATTAAAATGTATTGTATAAAATCGCTTCTTTATCTCAATTGTACTCTTTAAATCAATTTTAATGGTAACTAATCATTAGAAAGCATTAAAAATAATAATATATACTATAAATGAAATACTAAGTTTTAAAAGTATAGAAATTAGTCCCCTAAAGATGTTTTAATAGTTAAGAATTTAAGTTTTTATATTAGAGATCTCAATTTTAAATTTTGAAATGGGTGGAGATGGGTTTGAGAAAGGGAAAGCTATCCCCTATTATATAATCATAATTCAATATATTAAAAAAAGTATAAAAATCATAAAATTCTATGTTAATTTGATTAGACTACATCATAACTTTAAATAATTAAATTAGTCCATAATAAAAGAAAAGAAAAGAAAATATTCTTTAATGAATATGAAAGTATTTAACATTATAAAGCAAAATCTAATAACAAGTAAAATTAATTTGATAATATAAAATCTTAAACTTTAATCTTCTTTTAATATTGAGTTTCTCTCTATAACCTCTCTCTTGCTCTCACAAGAGCTCCCAAAATCTTGTCTTTAATGAGTATTTATAAAGTTTACTAAAACCTATCAGAAAAGAGTTAAAACCAAGGTTAAAAATAAAAAATTTTAAATAAAAGTGCTAAAATACTGCTTAGAGTGTGGACACCATAGCATAGGGGTCGATACTTCCGCAGTTCCGCTTCCAATATCAACTGACGCGTATGTTTTAGACAGTGTCGACATCCAATTCCAACGCATGCCGAGTTTTTTTTATCTTTAGCAATTTTTTCTATGGTAAAGTGGCAGTATCTGGTCCTTTAGCTTCTACTTTATGAGCATTTTGATCCTAAAACTTTTAATTCATTCATTAAGTCCCCAATTGTAACTTTTCTTCTGCAATAATGCCTCAACTTTCACTTTAGTCCAAAAACTTTTATTATCATGCCATCAAGTTTTTTTTTTTTTAACAAAGAACGAAAATGAAGTAAAATCTAAAAAAAAAAAAAAACTCACTTTTTATCCATCCAAATATTAATAAAATTAAGACTAAAATAAAAAATTTAAACATATAAAATGCATCTCATAATAAATCACAAGATCATCACTGGTGTGAAAACATGAGGAACCAAATTTGAATTTGTCAACCAATTGTTGTTGGTATTGAAAAAGGAGGAACACGGGACAGATAGCTGCAATGCTGAAATGTTAAGGATGAGGCATTTTTGTAATTTCATATTCTATAATACTTTTCAACCTTAACATGTGAAAATAAAAAAGAAGTTAAATTTGTCACGTAAGTAATTAAAATGGGTCTAACATTAACTTGGTAGAATTATTATGGTTCCATTGTATTTTCCATATAATAGTTTTATTCACATAAAATTTCAACTAATTGCCAAGTCAGCAGTGGTCCACACTTAAATGAGGTTGCCGTCAGAGATTGATGAATTGCTGGCGTAACCTGTTAAATAAAAGCTAATTTGCTATTATTTGAACAGTACAATGTTTAAAAGTATCTGGTTTTAGTTGTGGGGTTAGTTTGCCACCAATTAAAGAGTACATGGGTTGATTTACTTTTTTTTTTTTTTCTAATTTTCAGTCCACTGAGTATCCCCTTAAACATCAATTTTTTATTCTTAATTTTAATTTTAATTTGTCCAGATCACACATAGATCACATATGGATCACGTGTCCCTTAATTAAGGTGTGGAACCTGATGAATATTTGGTAGAACATGGGTTTTGTCCGGTCTTGTGATTTAAAGAATATTATTGCAGTCCACATTAGCATCTCTGTTCATACGAAAAAGGACAGGGTTGATTTCCACCAACTCAGGTGGTCCTCCTAGTCTCCTACTGAGCCGGAGCGTGGAAATCAATTTTAAAGCTATCCCTTGAACTTTGTGTTTTGGTTGATGGCCAAAAAACAAAAAAACCATTGTTTTCTTGCAGCTAAAATTGCATATGGATTCCCAATTCATGAACCCAAAGTCAAAAGAGCACTAGATACAATCAAATATTTTGTTTTTGACTGTTATAAACGATTAAATTTAAAGAGTTATTTATAATTAAAGAACCATAGAAGGTATAAATAAAACAATTAAAAAAAAAAAAAAAAAAACTCTCCTACAAATGAGAAAAAACCCTCAGAGGGAGAGACTCTTACTTTTACCCATCCTCCTTACCTATTGAAGGAGAAAAGCGACAGCTAATAAAAAA